AGTAGGAGTAGGAGTAGGAGTAGGAGTAGGAGTAGGAGTAGGAGTAGTAGTAGTAGTAGTAGTGGTAGTGGTAGTGGTAGTGGTAGTGGTAGTGGTAGTAGTAGTCCTTGTGACACCTGTGAGCCTGTCATCATTGTCGACGTGGATCATCTGGCGCTGCAACGGCCTCAACAAAGTGCCAAAAGTCAAATACCAACACTGGGACCTAAACAAAGTTGAGCATCATGTGGAGCACATTTCAATAGAAAATGAAAAAGGATGGCCACTCTGAGATCCAGGCATTGAAGTTTCCCATGGCCCCATCACCCACTAAACCCCATCACCGATTTAAATTGCAAATTGCCACTTGAAAGTTGAATTGCGCCAATTGCCAATTGAAAATTAAAACAAAACAATGAAAAATAGCAGCAGTGAGCAAGAAGGCCGGGCAAGAGTAGCAGCAAAAAGGGGAAAAACTTGGTGCACTTTTGGAGGGTCTGTTTTAAGGAAAATGTGTTTACTGACTGTTACAGCTATTAGGCAAGACCCAACGTATACATTACATAGCACATCTTTCTCTCTCTGTCTCTCTCTCTCTCTCTCTCCCTTAAATGTCAGCCCAAGAGCATCGGGATGCTCGAGCGGGACGCCAGCCCAGAGGAGAATTTGACAAAGCTCCAGGGCCTCTGCAACTTCACTGTGCTGTCAAGGAGACTCGGCCAACGGATGAAAATCTACGTGGCTACGTGGTGGCTACGTATGGCTACGCGTGGAAGATGTCACCACATCAACACCTTGATGCCAAATACGCGAAAGCAAGCCAATTTGACGCTGCAATGCTTTGCATGTTGCTTTCTTGTCAAAGAACAGCGTCTACGCTGCCAATGACACATAATGACACCAACCTTTGCCGCCTCTTCATCTTCTCCATATCGTGCAGCAGCAAAGAATAACAAAGTCTGCTGCATTACGGTCTTCAAGTGGCCTGGTACAGTCAACGGGGAGTAAGCACGCACTGAGGCGGAGTAAGCGTAGGGTACCGGGTAAGGGTACACATCCTTTAATTGAAAACTGCACAAGAGGATCAAGAGATTGAGATGCGGCTAAGATGCATTGGTTTGACGCCACCAATGCCGCCACATGTTGGCGGGCTTTCACGAAGGGGGCGTCCTTAGGATTCAAAACACTCTTTTGCAAACGGGACATGCTTCACATGAAAAAAAACAAACCTGGATACAAACCTAAACCGTGCTGTCTTTCTTGGATTGTTGCGTTGAAGAAAGTTAAGGTCAAGAACGAATTCGGCGCATGCCTTTTTGACTCTCAAATAGTGTCATGTTCACACGTCCCAAAACGAGAAGGAACCTGAGAGCTTTGCAGTGAATCCGAGTAGCCCGCACAGTAAGAAACATGTCATCTTTGTTGAGCCTTATCGTTGCACGCCCGACTGGCATGGCCGTTTGAAAACAACCGAATCAACGGAGCGCAAGCGCTCCTTGGACCCAATCTGCGGTCAAACTGTGGCGCTGGCGACCAAATGGAGTCCACTTGCTCAGTGTCACTTAGCGTCTCTTTGTTGAAAAGGTACTGCTCTCCGAAACGGCTGGGCTAGGCCAGCTGGGCTGTTCTATTTTTGTGCTCCTTTGTGTCCTCCTAGAACCAAATAGTGCTGATTGGGGAAACCTCCTTGAATCAAATTCGGGTTGGATTGATGTAGATAAAGGATGAGGCGAAGTGGATCTCGTTCACCAAGTTCAGATCTTTCCGCATGGTGATGCAGTATGAGGGACAGTCAAACAGTAGAGTAGTTGCGAAACGGCTTGGCTTCCCATTTGGACATCAAACGGATCAAACGGATCTCGAGCAGCTCAGAGGAAAATAGTGCAACGGCCCAGCGTTTCACTTCCCGTCGGAAATGGGAATGGTCGTCCGGAGGGGGTGGCAGGCCAGTTCCATCCGTCACCGGCCTCATTGGTGACGTCCATCCAGGCCACTTGTAGAGGGTCAGGCCCCCAGCGCATCTTAAACCTGAAGTGGTACCTCCCCCGGCGCTGGACCCGAACCCGGTTTGGGACCGAATCGCCGAGCGGGACCGGAGTCAGGCTGAGTCGTAGGTCGACCGAGGTAACCGAGTCGTCCGCTTGGTCCGAGCGGATTCGGGCGCACGTTCCGGGCAACGGAAATTTGCTGCGCACATCCTGAGGATCGGCGAGGCGACGGGGGGAGTCGGTGCGGGGGGGGGTGTTCAGGACGGGAAGCTAGGGAAGCCAGCCAAGCTAGGTCGTGGACCGGGTGGGTTTCGGTGCAACGGTGTCCCAGAAAACGCATCACTCGAAGAGGAACCGAGCTCAACCAACATCAGGATCTCTAGATCACCTCCGTCCACGTTTTTCAAGGGAAAGGACCGACATCATCGCTTAGAATCAGTGTCGTCATTCATCACCAATTCTCAGCTCACCACATGAGAGTCTGCCAACACGTACGTCTAGTAGAGGACACGATTTAGCAAAGGGTATCGCCAGTTATCGCTTTTGAGGGAAGCCTATCGCTTTTGCCATGCTCTGAGCCGGTTTGAGCCCCACTTCCTAACAAAAGTCTAGACGAGCGCCGCCAAAAAAATCCTTCGTCACGTTTCAGGGCGGTTGCTCAACATTCGTCGGTCGTCAAACAACATTCCCCTCCTGCAGCATCACCTGACCCTCCGGCTTCAGCACCGGGAAGGCGTTCGGCATCTCAGCCTCCAGGATTCGCCACGCTCGGAGTTCGCGCGGCCCAGCGGTGAACGGGGCGGTGCCATTGGTGTTCAGGCAAATAGGCCGATGTCGCCATCTGAATGCCATAGAGTGTTTGATGGATTTTGGAGCAACAACTCCTTCCGGATGCTTTTTTGTCGGATCTGAAACGGCTTCAGACTCTCCTCATCGCCATCTCCCGGGATGTGGTAGAAGACCAAGATCGGTCGAGCCTTCGAAAACGGCGAACGAAGCGATTGTCCGACAACGAGGTGCTCACTGAAGTTTTCAGAAGTGATCCCACACCAACCACAAGCGTCCCACAAAACCTTGGAACCGACCCCAACCTTTGAATCCCACACATCTCTATTAGGAAGTTCCGACTTGACTCATGACATCTCATGACTCATGAACTACGGAAAACATGATCAAGACCATGCCACGCCACTGGACCTGTCAATTTGCTTGGACCTGTCATTGACATGCTGGGCAAGATCGACTCTGGCCGCCTGAGCGGACCGACCACTCATGGCCTGCGGTGCCCGGCAGGTGGCCGGTCGCACGTGGCTCGTCTTCGTCGATGGAAACGAGAGCAAACTCGTGTGTCCAGTCGACGGATGGAACCCGAATGCAAACACTCAACACCATTTTCGACACTCTCTTAGGGGACACTCTTGTGGGACATTCCTGTAGGACACATTCCATTCGGAAAGCTTTGTGGGACACTCTTGTGCACTCTTGTGGAACATCTTGCATGACACTCACTCTTCTGCGAAATTCTCGCGAAACAGTCTTGTAGGAGACTCTTGTGGGACACTCTCGTAGGACACTCTTGTCCGACACTCTTGCGGGACACTCTGGTCGGGCGCTCTTGTGGGACATATTTGTGGGGCACTCTTGTAGGACACTCTTGCCGGACACTCTTATGGAACACCCTTGTGGGACACTATCGCGGGACACTCTCGTCGGATGCTCTTGTGGGTCATTTCAAACCTGCAAAACGACCGCTTCGTACGAGACTTCCTCCAGAACTCACGCGCCAATCCTCCACAACGAGAGCTTCGTGCGAGACTTCCTCAAAAACTCACGCTTCGAGCTTCGAGTCTGCAAAACGAGCGTTTCGTACGAGACTTCCTCCTAAAGTCCAGCCTTTCGCGCGGAGGAAGTCTAGCGGGAACCTCCATCGAACACACACATCAAGCAGCCCTGCCAAGCAGTTTCGCGATTCCAGCCCCTCCAAACAACGCCCGCTCACACGCGAGTCCCAATATGTCACAGCGAATTCACCTCCACCACAACTCGCAACCTCACGATTTTCTGCGCCTGCCACGAAACTTTCCGCCTCCACACGTCTAACGCAACCTCACGATTCCCAGCGCCTGCCACGAAAATCGCACTTCCATACCATACCTCAAAACCCGCACAAAGTCCTGCACCTGCCACGCAAAGTGACAATATCATATCATGTGAGCTGCAACAAACCTTGCGCCACACCACACAATGACATTTGGAACGACTGCGACACGTTCTGAGCACACTCCCATCAGCCAAAATCGCCATTTCAGCTGAGACCTGTAACGAAAACACAGCTTTGGCAAAACGCCTTGAAACGCAAATCCCAATGTCACAGCCACACCCAACACCCCAAAAACACAACCCTCCAAACGCCAATCCCAATGTGACTACGCAGAAAACTGCGGATCTCACAAAACGCTGCGCTTGCGCAGTGAAATCATCCTCCACACTTCAACATCTTACGTTTCCACACGACTCCTCGCTATTTCACACGAATCTGACACGTTGCGCTTCCACGCAAAGCCCTCTCCAAAAGCTTTCCCCCAATGGCAGCGTCTTAGCGCCCTACTGCGAACGGCGGCGGACGGTTGCGGTTGCCCCAGAGTTAAACGAGAACCCTTCGCTACGCATTAAAACACGGTCACACCTTCAATTTAAAGGACAGAGAGAGATAAAAACAAGGTGGACCCGGAGAACCCAAGCAAAACGGCCTGAGCAATTCCAAAAGCAGAAGTAAACGGAATCATGAAGGCCACAGCAATGAACGCTCTGTTTCCCGGCTCGTGCTCGCGCATCCCCGGTTCCTTCCTTCCCCCACCTCCACCAGCATTTCCTGCGCCTACACAGCGTCCCCCGTTTCCCAGCTCGTGCTCGCGCATCCCTGGTTCCCTTCCCCCACCTCCACCGGCATTTCCCGCGCCTGGCTCATGCTCGCGCATCCCCGTTCCCTTCCTTCCCCGCATCTCCCGCAGCGTCTCCCATTTCACGGCTCGCGCTCGCGCATCCCCGGTTCCCTTCCTTCCCCCACCTCCACTGGCATTTCCCGCACCTACACAGTGCCCCCCGTTTCCCAGCTCGTGCTCACGCATCCCGGCTCCCTTCCTTTCCCCCACCTCCACCCGCATTTCCGATGCTTTTGGGAAAAACACGAACCCGAACGCAAACACGGACTCGAAAACTAACAATTCTCGACGCTCATGGGACACTCTTGTAGAACACATTCCATTCGGAAAGCTTTGTGGGACACTCTTGTGCGCTCTTGTGGAACATCTTGCATGACACTCACTCTTCTGCGAAATTCTCGCGAAACAGTCTTGTAGGAGACTCTTGTAGGACACTCCTATATTACGACACTCTGGTGGGACGCCCTTGCGGAACACTCTTCTAGGACACTCTTGTGGACATCCTTGCAGGGCACTCTTGTGGGACACTCTTGTAGGACACTTTTGTGGGGCACTCTTGCCGGACACCCTCGTCGGACACTCTTGCGGGACACTCTTGTGGGACACTCTTGTTTGCCACTCTTGTGGGACACTCTTGTATGACACTCCCTTTTGCGGGGCACTCTTGCAGAACACTCTTGTAGGACACTCTTGGGGGGGACTCTTGTAGGAAATTCTTGCGGTACACTCTTGCAAGACACTCTTGTGGGACACTCTTGTAAGGACACTTCTGTCGGACATTCTTGTGGGACACTTTTGCGGAACACTCTTGTATATAGGACTCTCTTGTGGGACACTCTTAGATTACAATCACACTCTTGTGGGACGCTCTCGCGGAACGCTCTTGTAGGACACTCTTGTGGAACACTTTTGCGGAACACGCTTGCAGGACACTTTTGTGGGTCCTGTAGAACACTTTTGTGGGGCACTCTTGTATGGCACTCTTGCCGGACATTCTTGCGACATTCTTGTGGGACACTCTTGTATGACACTGTCTCTTGCGGGGCGCTCTTGCGGAACACTCTTGTAGGACACTCTGGCGACACACTCTTGTCGGACACTCTTGTGGGACACTCTTGTAGGGCACTCTTGTGGGGCATTCTCGTGGGACACTCTTGCGGGACACTCTTGTGGGACTCTTGCAGGACACTTGACACTCTCGTATGTCACTCTTGTGGTAGGACACTCTTGCCGGACACTCTTGTTGAACTGTTGGACAGTCTTGTGGGACACTTCTGTGGGGCAGTCTTGTAAGACACTCTTGCTCTTGTGGGACACTCTCGTGGGACACTCTTGTAAGGGACGACTAAAGTCTCCAAAAGTCAACTGTCACGTTTCCAGGACAAGCGTTTCGCGCGAGACTTCTTCCAAAATTCACTTGTCAAGTCTCCAAAACGAGCGCTTCGTACGAGACGTCCTCCAAGAGTCACACGTCAAGTCTCCAAAACAAGCATTTCGTACGAGACTTCGTCAAAGTCTCCAAAACGAGCATTTCGCACGAGGCCATGTACAAAAATGCGCACGGCGCCACAACGAGAGCGCAGTCGCGAGAAGCACCAGCCACCCAGATTTCGTGAGCCTGCGCAGTCGAAATGCACGGCGACGATTTTGAGAGACATGAATGTACTATGTAAATAGCATGAATTAGCCGTTGACGTCCGCGCGGAACAGCGATCTAAGCGCAGCTGCTTAATCCGTAAGAACCCCTAAGTGTGTCCACACTGTTTGGGGAACAAAATGGAACTAAACAAAGCCAGGCCCATAAAGCGACACTCTCTCGAACTGACATCCGGTGACAGGTGTCACGAGCAACGGGACAATTCAGCCGAATCGAATCCATCGACCGCAGTTCGGACCGGAGGACATGGTCGGTGACCGTCCGACCGACGGGCTCTCACACCAGGACCCTTCCGTTCCGACTGACCGCTGTGTTCGGCCTCGCCCGGGTCCGTTCGAGGCGGCTCTGCGTTGGCGGACTACGCTGACTGACTACGCTTTGACTGTGTGTGTGTCTGTGTTCGGACAGTTGCCAATCCATGCTATAAGCCACGCCAGAAAAAACAACCCTCGCTCTGGGTTCTCCCAAATCTTGTTCTTCGCGTCCGAAAGAAAGGACCTACAGAAGAAGAAAAGGGTCGGCTTTTTTCCGTTTGAAGCCGCTTCGGTGCGGAAAAAGAGCACATTTAGCGGACGCCGGAACTTCTGACATGGTGCCGGTTGCGGCACCATTCGGACATGGTGCCGAAGAAGGCTTCCTGCATGTGGTTTGCGCGCGCGCTCGGTTTTGCTTGGAGGTGTTCGAAGCGTTTTGGACGACGGAACATCGGGTGAATTGGGAGGAGTCGGACCACTGAGCCATCGGATCTGTGACGTTTGGCCGTCTCTGGAGCCAGAAGCGAACGAGGCAGCGCAATGTTTCTCCTTTCAAAGCACCGGAGTTCAGAAGAATGGCAAGATGAATGGCAAGATGTACTGATCAAGCTCTAAAATGACATGTTTTTCCTTGGATTTCGTTCACCAAGCGGAGCGCTTTTTGAGCGCTGCAAGGATCGGATCCTTTTTTTCTTCGTTGGGACCCTCGGCCGCGGGGCTCTTCCCCGCGCGGTGCCCGGACCGTCCGAATTCGACGCGACGCGACGGGAGGAGAGGCAGTCTTTCTGTGCGGTTCTGAACTGAAACATGTGACACGTCGATGTTCGAAAGACTCCCGCCCTATGATACACCGGTTTTCTGTACAAAGCTTTCTGTCGTGTCATAGAGCCTGGCCCAAGGAAAAACGAGCGAGATATTGGCCGTTTTCGTGGGATCACGACCGGGCCCGGCTCTTTTACATACATGAATGGCTGGAGTATCAGAATATCCTATTCCCTCTAACAGCGGTATGAATTGGTCAAGTCAAGGTAACGGCACCCCAATGGCATCCTTCCTCTGGTTTCGCTTTTGTAGGCACAAACCGATCAGCCTGCTCTCCACATGGTCATAGGCCCGACTCCTGGCAAATCGCTACAGAAATGCATGCCGGTGTTCAGTAGAGTCCAACGACCAGCCAAACAGAAAGGCTTGGCAAAAGATACCAAGCTGCCAGTTGTGCTTCTTTGTGAAAGGATAGTAAAAATAGAATAGCTCCGCGAATGAAACTGCAGCATAGCAACGGGGATTCCACATGATCTTGTGCATCAAAGCTGGCGAAGCTGAGTATATAAGCTTAGAACGTCGACGGAACGCACCATCGGGTGGACGTTCCGGGCGAATCTCCTCAACGGCGCTGACTCTGGGCGCAGCTTCGGAATGGCCTGCGGCGCAAGAGGTCTGAAGACCCAATCCAATGGACCATGGCCGCCATTCAATGGCCCCCTATATAGAGACCCAGACCCATGAAACTCCTGTATACAATAACCCAGATTTCTGGTCCGCGCTCCGAAGATGGACGTTCGGCCTTGCACCTCGGAACCCGTCGGACCTGGAGCTTCCGCATCAGCATGTCGAGGTTGCGCTGGACGATCCGCTGCTTGTCTCCCTGACCGGCCGGTCCCGGATCCGGAAGAACCGAACCGAGGACTTGAGGCCAGGGGGAGGAGGTCGAAAGCTAGCCGAATCGCACCGGATGTACGACCCGACGTGGTAACTTACCCCATCGCACATGAACTTGACCCACCCCCATGGCACACCGCTTACCCCATGAATGTAAGAACTTACCCCATTTGGAAAACACAATGGCACACCGCTTCGATACAAGCACGTTTTCTCCTAGATTGTTTCTAAACCTACATGATTCCATTCCATTGCGATTCAATCTTCTACATGTTGATGTTTTCTAAGGTTTTCTGTGGGTTGCCGTGGTCCAACCCCCATGGCACACCGATTCTGACCCACATGTTGGTACCCCATGGCAGCAGCAGTAGCCAACCAGCAGCAGCAGAAAACCAGCAGCAGACCGGCAGCAGCAGCGAACCAGTAGCAGCCAACCAGCAGCAAACCAACAGCAGCAAGCCCGACATATATTGATTACCATAGATTACCAAACAACAAACGCCGCTGTCCCAACATTGGTTGGGAAGCGCAACTTGAGGCTGGTTATATTCCAAGTACTAATCACAAAAAAGAACAAATACAGTATGAAATGACCAAACAATGATCGTCTACACTCCTAAACATCAAACTGCTTGGGGACACCGTTTCGCAACGATTGTTGACAAAAACCTAATCACAATGTAGTGAAGCCAAGAACATGAAATCGTAACGGTGCACTTGGGAGTACAATAAACTTGAGACAGAATCAACAGTGTGCCCTTGCGGTTTGGTCGAATTCTCAACCTGTGATCAACAACAACATACATACAAAAACTTAGCCCAATCAAGCTTTCCCACAAGGGCACACCTCATCTGGCACAAGTTCATGCCATTCGAGACAAGTTAACCCGAGCACCCAGTACTAGTTACATAGTCGGCAAAGCATGTAGTGATTGCATGTTTTGGGAGAAAGGTTGCTACGTACACACTTTGCGCTAAAGAATGTAAATGTGACATCGCCGACTGGGAAGGGTACATTGAACAACACGGGTGCACTCGTTGGCAGGCACGAAGATGCGTGATCGGCAAATCTGGGGGTAAATTTACCCCCCGCTTTTGTATGCCTTGAGTCGGAAAGAGGGGTAAGCATTTCTGACATCACACGGACTGTACATACACTAGGGCGTCCGTAGTGTAGGAGAAGCACGGGTAAAAGGTATATGGAATAGAGTGTCTTGAGGAAATAGCCGGCTTATGGTTATTGCAATTCTGGGGGGTAAATTTACCCCCCGCTTATGTATGCCTTGTGCCAGAAAGAGGGGTAAGCATTTTTGGCATCACAAGGACTGTGCATATACTAGGGCGTCCGTAGTGTAGGATAAGCACTGGTAAAAGGTATAAGGAGTAGAGTGTCTTGAGGAAATAGCCGGCTTATGGTTATGGCAAATCTGGTGGGTAAATTTACCCCCCGCTTATGCATGCATTAGGCTAGAAATAGGGTAAGGAACTTGTAGCAGTGAAGTACAAGGCCTATGCAGCAAGCAGCAGCCAGCAGCAGCAGCAGCAGCAGCACCAGCAGCCAGCAGCCAGCAGCAACCACCAACCAGCAGCCAGCCAGCAGCACCACGCAGCAGCAGCGCAGCACCAAGCAGCACCAGCACCAACAGCAAGCAGCAAGCAGCAAGCAGCAAGCAGCAGCAGCAGCAGCAGGCAGCAAGCAGCAAGCAGCAAGCAGCAGCAGCAGCAGCGGCGTCGTCAGCAACAGCAGCAGCGGCACCAAGCCGCAACAAGTAGCAAAGCAGCAGCTACAAAAGCGGCAACCAGCGGCAGAAGCAAACAGCAGCAGCAAACAGCAGCAGAGCGGCAGCAGCAGCACCGTTTACACCAAGCCACCGTTTACACCCAACCAACCACGTTCACACGTTCAACCAACCCCCGCTACACGGCGCAGCTGGGAGTCGAACCGTGGGGGGGGGGAGGGGGGGGGTTAGCGTGATATATCAAGCTTTAAGGCACACAGCTCATCCCACTGCCAGTTGCTAAAGCAAAGAAGAACTCAGCTAGCATGCTAGCTTTCGTGATCAAGCTTTAAGGCACACAGCTCATCCCACTACCAATTGCTAAAGCAAAGAAGAACTCAGCTAGCATGCTAGCTTTCGTGATTACCGCTTTTGTATGCCTTGGGTAGAAAAGAGAGGTGAGCATTTCTGACATCACACGGACTGTACATACACTAGGGCGTCCGTAGTGTAGGATAAACACTGGTAAAAGGTATAAGGAATAGAGTGTTTTGGGGCAATAGCCGGCTTATGGTTATGGTAAATTTGGGGGGTAAATTTACCCCCCACTTTCGTATGCCTTGGGTCGGAAAGAGGGGTCAGCATTTCTTGCACCACAAGGACTGTACATACATTAGAGCGTCCATAGTGTAGGATAAGCACTGGCAAAAGGTATAAGGAATAGAGTGTCTTCAAGGAAAAGCCGGTAGCAATTTGGTGGGTATGGATACAATCAACAGTTTTGCCAAACCACACATGTCCAAGACAATAAATTCAAACACTTTACTCAGGTATCGAAGATTCATCAACTGACGAGGCGCAGCCAAAATGTTATGTGATGCA